ATTAGAATGACGTCCGGACTTCCTATCTAATAGATTATTGTATGTCCGTTTAGCGTCGTAAATTTGTGGATGACATTTGGGGATTTTGAAAGATCGATATCGTTTTCTGATTTGCTGCCGACTTTGACATCCGTGCTCGGGTCTGTGGGCGGGCCGATACCATCCCGTCAAGCCGTGTCGATATGCGGACCTGCCCACGCCGCCCGGCGCGGCAGACACCCGAGCCCACGCCGGACACTTGCAGACAGTGCAGTCCGCTGCAGCTGAAACAATGGCCTCTGTCGATACGTCTAGTCTGCACCCGCCGGATGAGCTCGGACATAGCGGTCTGTACGCACGGCAACTAGATCTCGATCGTCGCATGGGAGCAGTTCGGTCGGGGAGTGAGCGGGCTCCTAGCCTGTTCTCTGGCTGATGCATGTTGGCAGCGTTCTCGGTTTTGATAAAGGTGCAGTAGATTCCTCCTGGTTGCAGCTGTGCTTTTTTGTATGAATTTCTTCAAAGTGCCGACTTTGCGTTAGCTTTCTTTTTGCTCAACGTTTCTTTCTGCAAGGCTTAGCGATTTAGGATTTCGTGAATTGCATTGCAAGCGGGCACTGTCGGTACACCAGCTGTCATGTTTCATTTGAATACCTGGCATATTCCTTTATCCTTTATTCACCAGTAAAGCGCTTTGTCACGCTCACCTTACCTGAAGCGTTGTTCTTTCACCTTTCTCTTCTTGTCCCGACATGTACAATGGATTCATAAATTGCAAGGATGCATGGATTTTGCTGTCCGGATAGCGTATGTCCGACAAGATTTATCCGTTTGCAGAAACCTACTTAATCACACATAACAATAGCGAACAGAGGAAAGTGGCCCCGTGTCGAGTCACCTTCACTGTTTCGCCCTGTTTACATGCACCCCTGCCCCGCAGCGAGGTCCAGTCAGAGGCCCCATATCGCGCCTTCCCCTGCTCGCGTGTCCCTTCACCGGCCGATTACCCCACTCTGCTCGGCGGCGCACCTGAGACAAAGGCTGCGCTCCGCGGCACTGGCGCGCTAATCGCTGTTTTGCTCTCTGTCCCTGTCCGGGCTGGGACGCGCGTGATCTCGGTTGTGTGTGCGTGCGCGCGTGGTCCTGGGTGCGTGCCGCACGCACGGCGCACAGTAGCACCGCTTCCGTACTGCCGCCGTGTGAACAGGGTGTCCATTGTGGCCCGGACCCGCCCCCGGGGAAGGGCGTCCGGTCGGACCCCCACTGGCGCTGTCCCGCCGCCCCGCTGGCGTTGGTGTTAGTGGCACTGCCTGCGCTGCAGTCTCTCCCGGAGGCCGGCCGCCTTCCATGCCAATTGCTGCTTCGCTCAGCATGTTGTGCCCCCTGCGCCACCAACACCAACAATGGACTCTTAACGATGATGGATGCTTGCACTGACATACGCCGCGAGCCAACAACTATGAATATTAAATAGCCCCGTCTCCAAATGCAATAAGCAATATGCACTTGTATCGAACAGATTAGCTTCTTGTTCGATGCAAAATAGACAAAAGATGTCTTCATCAATCATTCCCAGTTTCCTCTCGGAGCCTCGGCTTTCCCTGTTGTGACTGACACCCGACCCAATCCGCGGCGGCCAAAATTCCCGGTAAGCTCCGAGCCCCAGCTGCTTATGCGGCCCCACCTCCGCGGTCTAACACACCCGGCTCTTAGCAGCCACCGCGGCTAAGCCTGACAAATAGTCGGCGCGGCCTGGCGGCCCCTGTGGCCCGCTGTCGCCGCCGTCCCGCCGCTCCTCGGCCGACAAGGTTAGCGTGCAACAAGCCTGCCGGTCCGGTGGGATGATTCAGAAGGCTCCGAGAACTGGTCTGGTCGCGGCAGACACCCCGGCGCCCGGCGTCTGCCGCGGCGCAGTGCGACTCACCGCGGCTTCACTCGCCTTTGCTCGGACCGCTTGTTCTAGCTCGGCACCGACGTCCGACCGCCACATCGCGCGCGCGCTCACGAGTGGCGTAATTGTGGTCGGCTTTTTGCGCATGGCGTCCCTGGCGAGGCGCTGGACCGCGGAGGACCTTGTGGCGGCGTGCTACCGAACCAGGTAGCTGCTCGCGTGACGCCCGTGACACCTTAATAACGCGCTGTACACCACACTCCGCCGCACGGCGTTTTCCGCAGAGCGCAACACAACAACACGGGGCATTCGGTTCGGCTGGGGAAGGCTGACTTTTGTCCGTCGGTCCCATCCGGCTAATTATCCCATTTCCAGCGGGTCTGTTTTGATGCCGCGATTTTATGCACTCGGTCGCTCAAGGTCGGTCGGAGGTCGCGAGATGGCCGATGGAAAACAGCCGATGATGAGTGGAGCGCTGATGTCAGCCTGTGCGGCAGCCAGGCTCGCTGATTTGCATTCAGTTCGGCGTGCCATCGCGGCGTGGCGCTGGTTGGTACGATCTTGTGGCGAGAAGATAACTGGTGGTATGCGGCGGGGTTAGATGGACAGGAAAGCTTGAGGTGAGGCTCTGTTATGGATGTGTCGGGGCCGGAGCCGGTTGTGACTTGCTGCCAGACTGGTCAACAGTTCAGGTCATCGGGAGGTCAGGTCAGTGAGGTCAGGTCAGATCCGGGTAGTTAAATGTGATCAGTTTTCTGCCACCCGGATTCGAGTTGATTGACCGCCCACCGGCATATCTAGGTTGCGTCAGGCTTGCACGACGCAGGTGGCACGCTTCTCTCGCGGCGGTCTGCGGGCGTCATCTTATTGTGTCGTCCGGATGTCGTCGTTTCGTCAGGCGAATCGTTCCCATGTCGTGCCGGCTCCCATACCACGTTCGTGACAGTCGCTTCATTGGGCGTTCACGCCATATGAAGATACATATGCTGGCTCGTGCCACCGAGTGTAGCGTGGTATATGGTGTGGATCGTTGCACTCGCCACGGCGGTAGCTGTGCATGAAGCAACATCCGGTGTTAAACTGTGGACCATGCCTCCTCCAACGCATAGTCGCTGAATGGAATGAGAGGCTGTTGCAAGAACGCATAAGCCACTGCTGTCTGCTATTCAGATGCGTTCTGAGAAGATAATAACCATCGCGTGATTGAAGCCTATTCCAGCTTTCAAAATCCTTTTGCGCAGCCATACAATATTACGACGTGATTTCATAATGCGCCAATACTTAAGCAATTTTAAAAAACGTTTCATAACTACTCCGACGAACCACTTGATGTAACATTCGCGATTGTGTTAATAAAACACCTTATAAATAGTGATGACAGTTGTATTACGAATCCTTTGACTCAACACGGCTCTTGGATGACGTTTCGGTGACGGAAGCGGCTCAGGTGGTGTCAGCGGTCAGCACACCTCCGGGACGAGATGTCAGTCGTGACGGGCCGTCACACATCCGTCACACGCATGTGGCGGTCGTCACACGTCACACAGTGGCGTCACCGACCCGAGATCCGTGTGACGGGGACAGTGACAGTAATGTTACTGGCAGCCGAGTGTTATTCGTCTTCCCCGTAACTCCGGGTGGGGGCCTTCGCTCCCGTGGGAGCACGCAGACAAGTGTGTCACTCTGTCCCGTTCCCCTCCCTCGCTCTCTCCCCTCCATCCTCCCCCTCTACTCTGCGTGAGATCAGAGGCACCGCGGTGGCAGACACATGTGTCCGTCACTGACTGTCAAGTGTCACCAGACCGTCACTGCTCGTCACTGGAGCGTCACGGCCGCCACTAGAGCGTCACGCACTGCGCAGCGTCACGGTCCGGTGCCCCCCTCCCCCCCCCCCCCCCGCCTCCCTGTCCCTGTCTGGTCGGACCCAGTATTAGGCCCTGACTGTGCGGACCTGGACCGCCCGGACGGACAGACGGATGGACCGTGAAGTCATCCACTCCGCGCTGGCGGGACCCAGACGCCACTGTTTGTGTGAGCAGCGACTCCGGGGGCATCGCACCGGATGCCGTCCCGTCGGCACCGGGCGCCGCCGGCGGCAGCGGCGTGGCTGCTGTGTGCGCCCGCTCTGGTTTGGCCAATGAGGTCCGGCTCGGGCGGATCCGGTGGGCCCCAGTGGGTCCCTTCCTCGGTGACCGGGTCATTAGTATGTGGTCAGCCGCGTCCGGTGATGGGAGATCGGTCAGTCAGACAGACACCTGGCCCGGACGGACACAACACGGCGAGCCGGGCTGGCTGACTGGGACCGGACGGGTCGGGATGCAGGACGGCACGAGACCCGTCACGTTGACACCCGGAGCTGGGCTTATTTGGTCCGTCGGCGGGCTGCACACCTGCCTCCGACACCGTCACACACGACTCGCTGGAGCGCGGCTGTTATCGAAGCACGACCCGACACGAGTTGTAATTATCATGAGGCACGCGGTCGTCGGACCAAGACAGGTAGCGCCGTATCGCCGCCGGACGGATGCGCCGTGCTGCGGGTTTAGTGAAGCGTGACGGGTCACTGGTTCCGTGTCAGGCTAAGGCGGTATGATGGAGCGACTCGAGGGGCGGTTGAGTGACAGTCTGTGAGATAATGGAGTAAACCCGGACGGATGCTGCCTCCGAACTCCGTGGGTTCGAGGCCATTTCGACGTTGAGCTGAGGAGTGGGGACTCACTGAACTTTTACAAGCAATTCAGGAAGTGTTTTGGGTTTTCACAGTACTTACATAACCAGTCTGTGCCCTGCATATAACTATATTCTAGACAATCAGTCAAGCCCACACCATCCTACGAGTTCGTTAGTGTGGACGTCATTAGTTCGACCATCAGTTCATTAGTTCGAGCATCGAGTATATCACTCGAAATGGAACCATGCACCCCATTTGTCCCCGAGTTTAGCCTCCTTCGCCGCGCCCCACTGCACCCCATTGCGCCCACCTGTCCTGTCTGTCAATTGTTCATTCGTGGTGCTCTGCCTAATTCTGTGCTGCTGACAGTGGAAAGTACCTGCTTACCTCTGACGATACGATGGCGTTTTGTGCGATTCTGTACTGACGGAGATGTTTTGTTTGTTTGTTTGTTTGCAGAATGGGAGGCTCTCGAGGCATGTCGCTGGCTCCGCGATGCCGGCTTTCCGCAGTACGCCCAGATGTATGAAGGTGAGTAGAGTAGACAATCGATGCGACGCCGAGACACTCGTATTTCAATTGTCAACTGACTTATTGTCAGGTATCTTCTCATCGAGTCGTTACTATCTTCGTTGAAATCAATATTGCGCTGAGGCATTAATTGACTTTGCATTGCAGCGAGTTCTCGCCAACCTATTTTCCCAGTAACGCGGCGCTATTTTCAATTGATTCAGTAAACTTCACGTTTCTTCACCGCAAACCACCTATTACCGTCAACATTTACTAGAGTAGCCCACTAAAAACAAAGCTATCTCTCCGATCTCTGACCAACACGGCCCCTGGCGAGCGGACAAAGTGCACCGGGCCTGGGTGGTCCGAATGTTAAGGGCAAGGACAGTGCGGCAACCGATAACCATCCGAGATTCCTCGGGCGCAGCCAACCCTCGACCAGCTTGGCCAGCGCGTAGAAAAACGTCGCCACTCCCCGCCATAGGTCGCACCACAATCCGCCGCCGCCGCCGCCGTCGCGTCGCCTTTGTAGTCACCAACAGCCACGCGCCGTAGATGCAATTGCAGCGCGGCTGCGACTGATGCGGCGCAGAGGAGGCAGACCCGGCGAGGTGAGGACAGGAGTGACGCGACCGTTGTGCGGCGCCGAGCGGAGGTGTCTGATGTAACGGCGCCTCGTGTTTATGTCTGTCGGGGACGGAGACGGCGGAACAGCGATGACGAAGGCGCGAGAAGAGATACGAAGATGCGAATGAAGAAGCGTGGAGAGCGGTGGGAGGGGGCATTTCTCGCGGTGTATGACGGTCGAGGATTCGCTGGAGCTGTCCGTGATTGCAACGGTCGGCGATGGACAGCGGCGGGCGGCGGCTGGGAGGGGGGGGGGGCGTCCGGCGCCTGGGCGAGTACGGGGGCGGCATTGTCCTGGCGACCTTCAGTCTTGGGATCAGCGACCAGCCCCTAGCAGTTTGAGTGGGCTGTAAGACGTCGCCATTTTCTCGGGAGGCCGGCGTAAAGCTTCTCTCCCTCTACCGGAGACGGAATAACGCGCTTATCCAGCACGAGCGAGCTTCGACTTATGTGCCGAACATGAGTGGTATTGCCGCATTTGTTCGGCTTATTGCCATATCGACTGAGATTACGTGCACCATCTTAGGGGATTATGGAACAGCCTACCGTGACAGATTACGGTGGGCGCGGGCCGGTTGCGGAACTTGGGGCCCTGTTGGCACCAGCCTTAGTCGGCTCCAAAGCGCTGAATGTATGGCCAGTTTTTAACGCCGACAAAAAACCGTCGGCGTGTCTGGCGCGTTCATCAATGGCGAAGGGTCGGCGACCGATGGTTACTGATCGGGTAGTGGGGTTGTGAGAAAGGGGACACACATTCCCAGACATTCACAACCGGCTCGGGTAGGGAGCCCAGGGTGGGTTTCCTCCCCTTCCCAGCGCAGCTACATGTTGGGTTCCCTCCCCTTCCCAGTGGCATCCTAACCGTTCATCTCTTGGCTCGCCCTGGTCCCATCCCAGCCCTTCCTCCCCTTTATATCCACCCCTACCCCTGCTACCCCGCCGCCACCCCTCCCCTGCCACTGATTCGGTCCATTTGTGCCGCCATCCGTCAGCTGCTGTCATAGAGACAGCTGGGTCAACGCATCCCCATCCCGTGCGGTCCTGAACCACCAGTCCTGCTAGGGAGGGAGCTCGGCTCCTGACGACTGAGCAGCGGCCCCCTGAAGGGGACTCACCGTGCCCTCTCGCTCACCCCTGGCCACTCAGCGCTCTTGTGACGTATGAGCGAGCTACTGAGCCGTCAGCTCGCTTCCCCAGACTACTAACGAGCCTTGGCTGCGTCACAGACGGCCTCGGGATCACCTCTCAGTGGCTCTTAGTTCTCTGAGTGCTCCGACAGAGTCGAACGGCGCGCCGACACACCTGGTCCTTCGGCGCTCTGCGGCCTTCGTTGGCGTCTGGTGATCATATCTCCCAACACTTGTGTTCGGCGTTCGCCCTCAGGAAGGTTTGACGCGTCTGCGAGACGAGGGCTATTTACCTGGAATGCGGCGTCTATAGGAAGGGTAGGGGAGCAGACCATATCGCTGATGTAACTCTCCGACTGTTCATGAGTATTTTTTGGAGGGCAGGGAAAAGTACATGGCCGGGGCACGAGAGGTGACCCCTGGAGCGTGTTCCTTGATGCCGCCGCCGCGCTGCACGCGACCCGCTGGGGAAGCATTGTGCTGTCTGTGACGGCGGACGATGTTCGGACGACCACTCGCTCCAGAGCAGAGAAAAGCTCGGCGGCACACACAGAACACGGAGTGCTGAGCACAAAACAGCGCGCGCCCGAATACAGAGCGGCCGCAGAGTGCCGCACACAGAACTGGAGCTGGTTGTCGGAGTTCAGAGTGCACAGAGAATGGGCCAGAGACCTCGAACAAAAAGCACGCACCGCGACACGAGGCAGGGCTCCAGGCTGCAGGGAGCACGCGGGCTGCACGAGTCTTACGCTGCATTGTGGGGACAGGCGGTGACACACGAACGGATGGAAGACTGAGCTCGGCAAGTTCACAACCTCTGTTCTCTGTGTGTGAGAACGACTCAGACGCTCTTTGGCGCAATCCACGGCACGGGGCCTGGACGAGCCGCGGCGAGACTGTCGGCACTCACAGGCGACCAAGCAGCTCAGCGGGTCGTAAAAAACGCCGTAAAACCGTCCGATTCTCCTCTCGGAGAATAGCCGGCTGGAAGCCAACAGAAGGCGAACACTGGGTGAACAGTATCGGGATAGTGCGGGGTGATACAGCACCTCTGACCGCCGCTATCGTCTGCGGTCAGAGTTTTTCTCGTGTCAGAAGAGGCGGGGTGGTCTGCCCCCGGTGCCGAAGGTCACGCGTGGGTCACGAGTGGTCAGTCGGTGGCGGGTCGCGGTGTGAGAGGCCTCTCCGGACGGCCGCGCCACATCCGGAGCTCTATTGTGGTCGAACTGCACCGCCGCGGTGGGTCGTCCCGTGACAGACGTCGGCCCGCCGCCACGGGTCGCTGCTCCGGGGTCTGCGTGTACTCGTGCATCCTGTCCGACCCCCGTCGGTCTGTCTGTCTTTGTAGAGGGCTCGTTTCCGCGGCTGGCTGAACTTTTTCAGAAGTTCTGGAGTGACTAATGAGATAGGAGCTACAGGATGGAACATGTGAGACACACGAGAGTGGATGCATAAAGAACAGTGCGTCACTATCACGTTGCTCGTGCTACAATCACAGCGTGTATCGGAAGTGATCACACATGCACCACTTCCTGTGAGCTATGGGCTGTTACCAGTACTATGGCGAGGGCGGGCGGTTCGGTCGGTCGTCCGCCGGCAGGGGCGTAGGCAGGGGGGGGGGCCACTGGGCTATGGCCCCCCCCCCCCTTGGGCGCGCCCTTTGCGATTGGAGGGCGCCGAAGGCGCCCTCCAATCGCAAATGCAATTGTGATATAATCGAATCGAAAAACAATCGCGACTGGAGGGCGCCCTCCAATCGCGAATGTGTTTACAGGGAAAATACGGATGGAGGGCGCCCTCGGAGGACGCCCATTCCAAATACGCCCTCCAAATACGGTTGGAGGGCTCCCTCGGGCGCCCTCCAACCACATTTGTAGGCTGTAGCTCTCTAAGCGTAACGGTGGTCGCCTATGTAAGCCGCTGTCCTGTAAATAAGCGCCCTCTCACCCGAAGGCGCCCTCCTGTAGGTCGCCACCCTGCTACACATTGCCGCCCTTCTGCTGATCGGCGTCCTCATAATTATTGGCGCTCTCCTACCTATTGAGCCCTCATGTGAAATTTTGAAGGCCGCCTTTCTCCCTTTTGGCACCCTCTTGTTCAGTGCCGCTCTCCTACCTATTGGTTCCCTAGTCCTTCCTGTTGAATGTTAATCGGGGCCCTTCTCCTATTGGCGCCCTCGTGTAGATCGCCGCCCTCCTAACCACTGGCACCCTCCTGTTGATCACCGCCCTCCTATCCACTGGCACCTTCCTGTTGACCAGCGCCCTCCGCACAGACGCCCTCCTGTTCGTGTCATCCTCTTGAGCAAAGGCGCCCTCCTCACCATTGCCACCCCCATTTTAATCGTCACCCTTCCGCTCATTGGCGACTTCCAGTTGATGACCGCCCTCCCACCTATTGGCGACCTCTTGTTGATCGCCACCCTCCTATTGGTGCTCTCCTGTTCCTCGCCACCCTCTTACCTGGTGGCGCCCTCCTGTTGATTGTTGATCGGCGCCCTCCTACCTATTGGTGCCCTCCTGTTGATCGCTGCCCTTCTATCCATTGGCGCCCTCCTGCTGCTCGCCAACTTCCTACCTATCGGTGCCCTACTGTCGAAACTCGGGATGTTGATCGGGGCTCTTCTACCTATTAGTGCCCTCCTGTGGATCGCAGCCCTTCTACCTATTGGCAACATCCGTTGATCGCTGCCCTCCTATCATTGATTTACTCCTTTGGCATGTTTTTCAACTTAGTCGTTCTATTGCACATAGTTGATGTCTTGCCTGTGAAAACTGCCACAAATGAACGTGCATTCAGCACAATGAATGAAGTATCTATACCTACCAAAACTATCTACGCTCTACGATGCATAAAACACGTCTTTGGTCTTAACAGATTGATCCTACTTTACGTGCATCATGGCATCTATATGGATTACGATTAAGTATTGTCAACAGGTTCGGGCGCAACAGCAGGCATCTGAAGTTTCGGTGATTGAAACTGGTTATGTGGGTACACTGTATGCATCTGTGAGAAGGCTATGAAGGCTGGTCTGAGGTAATTTGGATGATGTTTACGCATCTCGCGCTCCGGTATCAATCCGATACGGTGATCTGGTGCGTAGATATGCCACCGCCAATAAACTTTTATGCATCGACACCCATGAGCCAAGCTTTCTGTACAGTTTGTGTGGCAGCGGCCCGACCAAACCTTAGGTATTTTTTACACCTTCAAATTTGGTAAAAGAGCGAGAGGAGCTTTGAACAGTGATCGTATAAAGGCGTG